CACACCAAACTGCTGCCACATCCCTGTCTGTCAAAAAAATTCAGTATGCTGAGGGAGAAAGTACTGCTCCACTCCTTCCCTGACCAGTCTGTCTGAACTCATACAGACAGGAGTTCACCCTCATGCTACAATAATGAACATGGCAAGCCTTCTCCCTGCAAAGCTCAGCCTAAGCACATACATTCTTGACAAGGCAGGCCCAGAAAGTCTGTCCCCATCATTTGTTAGATGGCAAAGCACTAGAAGACTTTAAGGAACAAAAAGCAAACAGTTTTTTATTTTACAAAAACAACATCATATGTACAATGTCAGGCTTTTCACAGCAAAGCCAAATACATTCCTGAAAAAAAGCCAGAGAAGGGGCAAACCTTTAGTGCATGTGTTAAAAATGTATTATGGTCCCTGAACAGCTCTCTTGCTCCAAAAAACTAACACATTGTCAAATACTCACAGTAGGTAGCTTGAGCATAACTTTATCACCTTGCTGGTGTTTCAGATTCCTGCAGTGCTTTTCTTAACAGTGACTTAGCATAAGCTCGGACATTTAAATCAGCTGCAGGGTTGCTTCTCTGCCTATCAAGCCCATACTTCCAAGCTGTACTATCCAGCCCAGCAGACAAGGAGGTTTTAGCAATTAATCTGCTTGCCCTTATTTATGGCTTGCTCAAGATGTCTTAAAAAATTGTCCTTCACCAACCTCACGTTACTGAAAAATTTTGCTGAAAGGAAGGCATGGGATGTATTGTAGTAAAAACTGTCTCTGAACAAAAGCTGAGTTTGTTTCGATTGCATATATGTGTATATATATTCATAAGATTTTAACAAATACAACCTTCAGGATCACTAAGAAAAACTTAACTTGGGTAGAAGTGAGAAACTGAACTTCAAACTCACCTTCTTCTTCATACTCTGTTACCTCCTCCTTCATGTTCTCTATCAGAAAAGAAGCATCCCTGTCGTTGGCTTCATTGTATTCCATAATGTCATGCAAGATATCCACTGTCCTTTCATTCACCTCGTACTCTGGAATAGCCTGATGCCCATATATTTTCTTTAGCCATAAAGCAACCTGCCAGAGAAGGGAAACAAAAGAGGAATCAATCATATGGAATGACAGAAAACAGTTGATAGATGTGAAAAAATTGTAAACTGCTGCAAGCTCTGTGTTCCTGAAGAATAACTACATCAGTTCAGGCATGGGTGTGAAAAGAGAAAACAAATTTCTTTGTCTCTTCTTTAAACACTCTCAGTGGTTTAGATAACAAGTTCCCTTTTAATCTCCTGTTACTCTGGACAGTTCCTTATGTCTAAGTGATAAAATTTTATCTTTTTATTCACATGACCTATTGACTACTGACACACGAGTGATGCAAGTGATATTAAATGGGTATTTGGGAAGCTGCTAAAAATTGTACTGAAGCAGCATGGGATAAAACTGCCCCAACCATGATCACTGGATCCGTCTCTGCAGGTTATTGGGACAGAAAGTTACTACAGTGTGCAGGCAAAAAGCCCTGCAGAGCACTTCTACAACCAAAAAGAAGGTAAGGAACGAGAGATTAACATAGTGCTCTCAGGTAGCACTGGGATTACAGAATCACAAAATCTTTTAGGTTGGAAAAGACCTCCAAGGTCATAGAGTCCAACGATTCTGCCAGCACTGCCAAGCCCACCACTAACCTATGTCCCCAAGTGCCACATCTATGTGGCTTTTAAATCCTTCCAGGAGCGGTGACTCCACAACTACCTTAGGCAGCATGTGCCAATGCTCAACAGCACTTTCTGTGACAAAATTTTCCCAATATCCAATCTAATTAAGTTAGAAAGGTTAGATTATGACTAGTAATATCGGAAGGCATGGAAGTTCTATACTGAGGGAACATAAACTCTTGTCTCAAGCTAAGAAACCTGATGAAGAAGAACACAGCTGTAAAATGACATCTTTTTATACTTCTTTGTGCTTCTGCAGCACCACTGTCTCAGCGACATACACACACTGCAAGCACCACCCAGAACTACCGCGGGGAAAACCGTCACAACCCTCAGAGCCACCAGCACTGACGATGCGTAGATGAAAACTCTTAACACTCCAAGAAAGCCAAGCTCGGGAACTAAGGATGAATCGCATCCTCCTGACACT